TTTTCTTTAATAAACAAAATAATAATGTCCTTCATGTTTTTGATTTATATTATCTTTTTAACTACAAGTTATTATCATTTTATAAATCAAAGTTGTCTAATGAATTAATCTTTTGCATTATTCTTCAGAAAAAGAAAGAGCACAACATAAGAAATTGGTGGAAATATCCCTTTACCTGTTTTACACAAATGTCTGTTTAATCAACTATTGTCTTATAGTAAAGTGATTGTTTCCTTTTATTACTCCATCTAACTAAAGTTGATTGTTGAGTTTATGACTTCACTGAGTTATATTTTGAAATATGCTTACAGAAATATTTGTGTTTTAATCTGGGCTGTTCTGGTTCTAATTTGATAAGATAACTGATAAAAATTAAACCTGTACTAATTCTCTTTTCCTCCTTTCTTAATCTAAACTTGCCATAAGCTAAAGAGCCTGTAAGCTAAGTTTAATAACATCTAAAGACTGGTTTACTGTTTTGTTCATTCTGAGTGCCACAGTTTCAGTTGTTACTTTGAACGTCTGTTTCTCTCTCTTTCATTGGAGAGGTATTTATCTTTCATGAAAAAGAACCAGTTTTTCCTCATTAAATTGAGAAATATGTACACCGACGGTGGACGTCTCTTACAAAAATTACATAGCAAGAAAAATTTGTTTTTAGATCTAATATTTTAAACTTGTTTTACCTTAAACCATTGTTTATTTTTTTAGTATTTAAACAGAACTACTACACTGCAGCATCTTAAACAGTGCAGTAAAATACTTGAGTGGTCCTGTATTAGCGGGACGAACAAGGCGCTCAGGCAGTGACTCATCTTCGCTCAAACACACCGAGGAGCTGCTTCAGGCCCGACGTTAAGTRGCGTCGCTATTTTCTGCTCGTGCAGCGGTACAGAACAAACAGAAGCTGAAATCTGTGGAGTGGCAGCTGATGCTTCTGTTTGCTTCAAACAGACAGAACGGAGATGCAACGTCCGAGCTTCAGCCTCTCAAACTGATCTGGATTCATCAGGCCTTGCAACTTCGTTTTTAGAACTATAAATAAAAAAGAATCTGTGTTTTTGTTTAATTAAAAAACACTGATTAGGTGAACTCGAATGCCGTTTGTGTGCAAATCATGACTAAAAAAGGGAAATTAGCAAAATGATTAAGATGAGGAGCTCTTTTTTTAAATAGCTGCACTAGAAAATAAATACAAAGCATGTCAAACTAAAGGCACACGGGCCAAATGTGGCCCACTACAGCATTTATGTGGCCTGTAAGAGYTGCATTATTGTCTTAAAAAAGCTGCTTTAAACTCAGCATTGATCATAAACTACATCTCCCATAATGCATGCTGATTATTTTATCTGTATGATGGCGTCCCATCATTAGGTGGAGGTTCTCAGGCTTTAACAGTAGCTGTAACAAGTTTCTCCAGCTACTTCTGCTGCAGTCCAGTTGTACTAAGTGGGAATTTACCACTTACAAGTTGTGATTTTAAACTGGCACACCCCTCCAGTGGGAATTCCCTTTCAGAAAGTGGGAGAGTTCAGAACAAGTTCAAAACAGCAGCAACTCCTTACAACTCAGCTGTGAGTAAAACTCTCACTTTTACTTTTAATAGTATTTGTTTAATTTCATTTAGTCAGTCATACACGTAGGACCTTTTGGTGTTTATAAGAGGACATGTCAAAACGTTGTTTCTATGCAGGAAATACCATGGAGAGCTCAGTTATTGTTCGTTAGAGGTGCTCAGAGATGTGATGTTTTGTTTTTGTCAAGCTTAAATGCAAAATATCGAAGTTAATTACAACTGGTCCTTGATTATGGTTATTGGGGATGGATATAAAACCCATATGAGCGGAGGCCTCCTAAGTGGGCCAATTGCTCTCCCCAAAAAGACACTGGTCTTTATTCAAACCTTCTCGTTCCTCAGATGAAGGACACAAGCTTAGAAACACTCAGTGTTCTGGGCTTCTCAGGATCCATAAAGGGTTCCTCGAGAATTCTTTTCCTTTGACTACTCAGAGCCAGGCAGTGGCCTAAGTAGTGCAAAGAGGTCTCTAATTCAATGCCACAGGCATCACACAGACCATTGTCATGAAGTCCCATCACCATTTTGTGGCGGTTGAGCAGATTGTGCCCAGTTAGGACTCCAACCAGTGTACTTAAGAGTTTTCCTTGACAGGGAGATGAGAGCTTTCCCAAACCTTAAGATTTGGGCCGTTAATCAGTTCTTGTGCCTGTCTACAGTCCGTCAGCTCCCTCCAGCGGATTGAGTGTTGATGTAAGTGTGGCCCTCAGAGAGCTCTAATAGCAGCTTGGCTATCTGTTAGGATGAATATTTCCTTCTGTGTACACTGAAGGTCTTTGAGAGATGCCACACACTGGTGGATTGCATATATCTCAYCTTGAGATACAGTTGAAAAACAACTTAGTTGGTATTTATGCTCTCTCTCACTACGGTTGTGCAAAATCAGCAGCCTTGCACCTACTGACCCCTTCAGATGGGATCCATCTGTAAAAGAGTAGAAATGATTGGGAGACATGTCTGTCGTAGAGAGGTTAATCCAGACAGACCTGTCTCCTATCTCTGTCTTAAAACTTGGCTCAAAATTGTATTTTTTGACCATTCTGTCTGTAGTTACTGGAACAACAGCAACTGCCCAGTCCCAGATTCTAGTGTGCTGTGAGTCAGATAGGTTTTTCCACCTACCAGACTGGTGTAGCCTTACTGCACTGGATGCGGCTTCCCCTAAGATATGTAAATCCAGTGGAGCCAGGTCCAGTAGGACTTCCATGGCTGCCGTGGGTGTTGCTCTGATAGAAACTGTGATGCTCAGGCAGGCCATTTGTTGCACATGGGTGAGCATTTCTCTTGCCATCCCAACTTGGACTCGAACCCACTACACTAAAGCAGCACAGCATAGCATGGGGCTGACTATGGCCGTGTAGATCCATCTAATAACCTTTGGGGTAGCACCCCAACGACTACCTGAAATTCTACGGCACTGGTGTAGGCAGATTGCTGACTTCTTACACTTTTCATTTAAATGTCTTTTCCAGTTAAGCTTCCTGTCTAGATAGACACCCAAGAATTTAACTGACTCTGACAGGGAGAGTTCTACACCCTCCAACTTTGGAGGTGAGTAACCTTTCCCGGACTTCTTTTGAGTGAAAAGAACCAATTCTGTCTTGTTCGGGTTGACAGAAAGTTCCTGCTCCTGGCACCATCTGGATAATATGTTTAGTCCCCTCTGCATTAGGTTACATACAGTACCCAGGCAGAATCGTTCTATAAGTATGACCAAGTCATCTGCATACCCTTGTGTGTGGAGTCTAGATCCATTCAACTCATTTAGCAAGCTGTCGACAACCAGGAGCCAACACAGGGGTGAGACGGTTATCGAACAGTCCCCCAGAGTTTAAGATACTTTCTTTGTCCGAAGCATGAAAATGAGCCAATTTGTTGTTGTCTCATCCACATCTTTGCTGGCAAGTGCTCTTTTTATAGCTTCTACGGGAACATTGTCAAATGCCCCCTGTATGTCCAAAAAGCAGCCAAGTGCATATTGTCCACATGCCAGGATGTGTTCCATTATCAAAACAACATCATGTAAGGCTATTTCTGTAGAAAGACCTGCCTGATATGCATGTTGTTTAGGATTTAAAGGTGATAGCATTAAGACACCATCCCTTACATGTTGACCTATTAACCTCTCCATTCCCTTCAGCAAGAAAGATGTTAAGCTGATGGGTCTGAAAGATTTAGCTTTGAATGGGTCAAACATATTAATTGCCCATTTTACTTTTCCTTTAGTAATTATACTTGCAGCTCTGTTCCAGTTGTCCTCTGTTGGATTTGAGTTAGCAACTGTGACAGGCTGTTCAGTCTCTTCTGCCCCAGGAAAGTGTACCTGGAGGAGATGCTGAAGCACACTTGTCTGTCTGACTGTCGATCCTTCCGGTGGAATAATGAAGGATAGACAGTTGACTGGATCCTTCCTGAGAAGTTTGTAAAGCTTAGAAGAGGCACTAGGCCCTTTAACATCTTCACAAAACTTGGTCCAAGGAAGTCTCTTACATTCCCTTAAAACACTTTTATAGTGATTACGGGACTGTACATACTATTCCCACCTGGTTTTACTTGGTTGGGATCTGTATCTTCGCCATTTACATCTTACTGCCTTGCGGAGSCCAAACAACTCTGGAGTCCACCAGGCCGGCTGCTTTGATGGCCTCCAGACTTTCTCTGGACAGGCAGACTTATAAGCAGTTTGCACAGCATCAGTCATGCTTGTGACCTCTGTCTCAATGTCTTGCACAGTTTTGATCCTGGCAATTCTTCCACCCATCAACTGGGATAAACTGCTGATAAACAGATTCCAGTCAGTGTTTTTTGGGTTTCTGTAAGTGACTGGGTATGGTTTCCCCATCTTCAGCTTAAACTGAATTTGTCAATGGTCTTACCTGGTTTCATCTGGGGATACTTCCCAGTCATATACTTTGTTTACCAGGTCCATAGACTCCTCCATATTAACAGTTTTGAAGGTAGGTACATTGCCCTGATTAAAGACTAGCAGGTCTTCTGTCAGCAAGTATTCTAACAGAGATCTGCCTCTAGGGTTAATATCAGAGCTCCCCCAGCACACATGATGGGAATTGGCATCACAACCAATGAGTACTGGCAGGCCCCTTTCTTTAGCATAATCGCCTGTTGCCACTAGGGCTGCCACAAACGATTATTTTAATAATTGATTAATCACCGATTATTTTTTCGATTAGTCAACTAATCAGATCATACATTAATTGAATATAAAACATAGAGCTTATCATGCCAGAATGCAGCTGCTAATGCATAACCATCGTTAGATTTAAGCTATATGCTAACTAAAAATAATTGCTGTGGAAGGTAAGTTCTGCTCTGCAGATATTACACAGGTTTCTCTTTCATTTTCTTAAAATGATCCCACACTTTTCAGCTCCATTGCCAGGTAGCCATGATACCWGAGCCTGTCTGTATGTCTTGTGACGTCCACGGCCTACCCCAGTTACCACTACTGTGCATGTGTGTCAAGGACAGAAAGGCAGATGTGGCAGTGGAAGGTGTCAAAGCAGTTTGGAGAGAAAAACAAAGTAAAGAACAACAACAACAAAAAAAGAAAACGATTAATCGATTATTAAATTAGTCATCGATTATTTTAATAATCAATTAGTCGTCGATTAATCGTAGCAGCCCTAGTTGCCACACCCTCCTGGGATGGAGGTGGCTGCTGTGAATCAAACGGCAAATAAACAGAGGCTGCAATGATCGGTCTGGATTCGCCATTTGCCTGAATGTCCAACTGCACTGCTACAGCATCACCTGTTGTTAGGTGGGGCAGTGCAGTGAATCTTACACCTCTTGTCAGGACTACTGCTGCTCTGGGTCTGAGGCTGCTCACATCATATAGAAATGTGCCCCCAAGGAATCCCAGGCCTCGTACCATAGACTTAAATATCCAAGGTTCCTGGATCAAGGCTATGCCTGTATGCATCCTACTAAGGCAGGTACACAACAGTATACTTGCATCTTTACAATGATGTAAGTTGCTCTGTATAAATTCCATCATCCCTAAAACTACAGAGATTAGGACCCTTTTCTCCATCAGAGGACACCAACATCATGTCGGTGTCCTCATCACCTGGAGACCCCAGCACTTGTGAGGCTCCGACCACTCCCCGCTGGGGTGCAGTCAAGGGGCTACTCGCACTGGGTACTCCCTATAGGCAAAGCGACAGCAGTGGCAGAGGCCATAGGACCACCTGCAGCATCCATGCCCAATGTGCCGCAGGCTGGGTCCCCGGAGGTTTTAGAACCCCCTTCTGCTGGGTACTGGGGGCCGGTCCCTTGTCCGCTCAATTTAAAAGTCTTGTCAACTTGCCATCCACCGGAGGTAGACGGCTGACGAGTGTTGACGGTACCCGGGTTTTACATCAGAGTTTTCCTTCTCTTAGGTGGGTTGCCTGTCAAGGCTATCAAGCCCCACCTGCCCGGCTGCTTTTGGTTCGCAGTACCCTATTCACTTTTCAGCTTATTCAGGAACACCCCTATACACCAGGAACAGGGATCCCCGATCCACCACCTGGGGGACACACCTCTACACTGTGCAGCCTCAGCACAAGGACAGGTGGTCCTTAGAGGGCCATCATAATGCTCATGTGACCCTCAGTGAAAATAAGTTTGACACCCCTGTTCTGCAAAAGGCAGCTTTGTTATAAACCTTGAACTGAACAAAAAACACGGAAGGAAAAATAAAATAACCACCTGTAGCTCCAACAAGATCATCAGAAATTTCTCCTTCTTCTGCCTCCAGGTTCCCGATGAAATCCACATCTTTTTCTCCTGACCTGGACAAGGTTCATATATTTAATTCACCCAGGATGAGGATAACACCACAGATTCTGGACTGTCCAGAACGTGGGACACAAAGAGGAAGTTCTGCTCACATGGTTTCCTCGTCAATGTCGTTCTCTTCTGTGTTGCTGGTGGCAGTGGAGCTCCCCGAGGTGCTGCTGCCATCCAGGGGGTTCACCTCCTCCTCCGTCAAACAGTCCACCTCCAGGTCTCCATCTGACAACTCCTGAACAAACGGACGGATTTTATGAAACGTTGTACACATTCCTTTGAGAACTCATCCTGTCTAATGGACTGGCTAATCCTCCCAACATTATTTAATCACAACCTTTAATCAGGGATGTTCTGTAGCTCAGCAGAACCCAGCTTTAATACAACCCACATGGACACAAAGGGTGGTACAGCACTCCCTGTTGGTTGGAAGAGGATATGTATGCCCAAAATCTACAAAAGTACATAAAGGATGTGATTCTGATGAGAATGGCAGACCAGCAGCATGCCTCTGGAATGTAGGAGGATTACACCTGGGTGAAGCTTCAGACGGTGAGAGGTGAGAAAGTCACAAAATTCTGAACACTTGTTTTTTTTCCCTGACACTTCAGAGATGAAGTAAAGACTGTAAAGCAGCAAGAAGAAAAATTCAAGGGCTGCTTGTCCCAAAACAATTATGATTATCTTTTCGGAACCCAGCTGCTGGCCTTCGGGTGGCATGTAATCTAACTCCCCCAGGGGGATACGTCAACAAGGGCTTGATTTCCCTCCCTTCTTCCCGTATCATCTGTGTGGGAGGCCCAGTCTGTGAGGAGGAAGGGGAATCTCTGAATTCTAGAACTGAGCATGAGACGATATGATCTGCTCTCTGGACTCTGGAGGGTCTCGGATTGGTTCCAGCACAGAAAATTATCCTTAAAAATCACTGGCTCCACTAAATCCTCATGTGTTTGACCCTAAAGGAGACCATAAAGGAGATCAGATTGACCTGAGCTGGGTTCATTTGACTGAGATGCTGTGTTGTATTGAGTTTAATTCCCTTTTCATTAACAAATTTGAATATAAAAGAAACAAGGCTAGAAGCTGGGTGAGAAATACAAACACAACAAGAAGAAGAAGATGATGCCCTAAAATGCTGTTTCTATAAGGACAAAGATAAAACCTTTTGTTTTCACAAAAACTGTTTTTGTTTTACATTCATGTTCATTAGTGAAATCGTTCTAATACATCTAAAACTGAATAAATAAATAAATAAATAAATAAATTCTAAAAGTGAATTTTTTTAAACGCAACACCTTCAACTTAACATGAAGACGAGAGATATGAAACGTGCAAACTTCAGTCTTAGTGGTTTTTTTTTTTTCCAAACTCTTACATTTGAGTCATCGTGCCGAGTCCTCTCTTCTTCTTCGCCTTTCTTAGAGTTGCTCAAAGTCATCTGTGGGTCGTCGTCACTTTTCACGGAGCGGGGGTCTCTGTCGGAAGTGGTGCCTACGGCTGGCCTGAGGTCGGGGGGTGAGGAGCTGCGGGACGTCTGGCGGCGGAACAGCTCGATGGCCAGCCTCTGAAATGAAACGAATAAATCTAAACGACAGATCCAAAGGTCACGTCAGGGCAAGCGTCGATCATCCACAATGTACCTCTTTGAGGTTGTTGATCTGCTGGATGTAGCCGCTCTGAGCCGACTCCAGCTGGCTGATGTACCAGTACTGATCCCTGCACTTCTGGAAGAACGTAGGAGAGCGGACCTGGTACCTACACAGTGCACACAAATCATTCGACTCCGTTACACAAAATAAGCTAAACTCATTAGCTGATGGATGTGAGAACGATGGTTTGGAACTGACCGAAGAACCAGCGTGTCCGTCTGCATGTTCAGGTAGCCCTCGCTGGCCAGCAGGTCCAGTCTGAAGAACCGATTGTAGCCCCAACATTCACCCACCTCAAAGTCTGAAGCAAACTCCCGGATAATGTTCTTGGTTGGATCGCTGGAGGCCTGATGGACCATCTCAACACGGTATTCGTACCTGAACGGGTCAAGTTGCATCGTGTTTGATGTGGTTTATTTTCAGACTTACCGTATTTATTCGTGTATAATATGATCTCATGTATAATACGACCCCCCTTTTGAACTTAAAAAGCATAAAAAATTTAATCCTCAAACTACCTCCAATTTCATACAGACTTGAAGATTTTTCATCCTTTGCAGTCTTTATACATATCAGTAAAATGATCATTGGACT